CAATCAGCTAGTAGGGGTTAACAGGATGCAACATTTCTTCCATTCGGGTTGCCGGAGAGGATTCAGGGAACGCGGCACTCTCGTCGAATTCAAGACGCCGCTGCCCTGTATCGTGAGCAGACGGCGAAGCGCAGTCGCCTTTGCTGGATGGAGAGACACAGAGGGCAGGATTTACAGTTTGTATTCAGAGCTTGTGCACTTCCACTGACAGATAAAAGGTGGAGCTGCTGCCTACATTTCAAGGCGTTCAGGCTTCCACGGGAGGTGCTGCGTCTCTGCATCAGCTCTGGGCTTTCCAGGCAGGGAACACCGAGCTGTCACTGCGGTCAGCATAAGAAAGAGGCTCAGCCGCCTCCCTGCCAGGCTGGCCAAACAACAAACAGAGGGGCATCGCCCAGGGCACACTGTGCTTGTGAGCTGAATGCTATAGGATGGCAGTTGTGGATGCATCAAGAATGTATTTAACTCCTACAGTTTCACAGACATAAATGCAATCTTCCTCCTGTGTCCCTGCTCCTCATGTGCCTTTGTAGAGAAGCCAACCCACCTCTTTGATTTCTGACACCTAAGAATTACACAAGATCTGCAGCTGATTAAACGCAGGTAAGGCTGATGGCAGACGGGCGGCTCTGTCGCCAGCATTCCTGCCACTGGCAATTTGTCAAAATCGCTGGAGGCAGGTTCACTAGGAGGCTACCTGTTTGTTTGCCCCTGTGGAATCACTCCTTCTATAGCTGAGAAATTGGGATGTCACTCCGATCACTAGCAATCGGGATTCAGCAGCATTTGGGCCAGCGACAGGCTGACATCTTGCTGCGTCTTTCTACAGAAAGAGCGATTCCACAGGGACAGACAAACAGCCTCTTTAGCAATCCTACTATTGACCATTTTTTTTTGCTGGTTTTACATCAGCCTAAGGCTGGCCATAGATAGGTCATATTTTGGCAATTCAGCCTGTGAGAGACATATAGAAATGTATTTATTTATTTCAGGTACTTCTATAGCATTTTCAAATTATGCAGTGCCTTACATATATATTGTACATTCACATCAGTCCCTAACCCTCAAGGGGCGTACAATCTAAGGTCCCTAACTTACATTCATACATACACATACTAGGGCCAGTTTAGAAGGGGGGGACTGACAACTCATGGGGCCCCCGGACAATAGGGGATCATGGGGCCCCTGTGTCCTTGCCCAAACTCAAAAAAGCCTATGAAAAAGGTACCAGGGGCATCTAATGGGGCCTCCTACTGACCTCGGGCAGAGTTTCCAAATGGTCAGTCTGCCCCTGGACAGGAGCCAATTAACCTACCACAATGTCTTTGGAGTGTGGTAGGACACTGGAGGAAACCCATGGAGGCACAGGGGGAACATGCAAACTCCAGGTAGGTGGTGCCGTGGCTGGGATTTGAACCAATAACCCTAGTACTGGCAGGTGGAAGTGCTAACCATTTAGTCACTGTACTGCCCCCAATTCCCCCATCCACAACATGGATGGAGGAATCATCATTGTATTCATGCAGCTGCTGACACTGATGAACAGTGACTGCCTCATATAGGATGCAGTCACTGTTCGGCTGATAATTTTCTCTATGCACCTCAGTTGATTGTTAATCAACTTTTGCAGAGCTGGGTGGTGCTTGCAGGTCCACCCAAGGCTCAATTGAGCTGGAATTATCTGGAATTTGAGCCATCTATTAAAGTGGTTGTAAAAAGAAATTAAACAAATCCTCCTACATGAGTTGTACCTTTTTATCTGAACCCATCTCTCCTTCCCAATCTCCAAAACACACATTTTACACACCATTGGTCAGCACTGAAAAGCAGGTTGTGGGATCTCAAGTCTCACGCTGCAGAGCTCAGGGAAGAGACACTCCCCTCCTCCTGACAGCACACAGGGAACATGCACAGCTGTGGCCATCAATCACAGGCTGTGTTCTGGAGCTCCAAAAAATTTACATGCTTGCCAGACAGGACAGCCAGCCTGGTGACTTGACACAGTTGGGTCATCTATGTTCCGCAGCTTGTGGTTGACAGTAGGAAGCAACAGACTGATGAAGTCATCTCTCTGTTCTCCCCTCCTGTCAACATGTTCTTTATCAGTGCAGGTAAATATAATACACCTGAGAGACCACAAGTGCTTACCCTGCTTCTCCCATGTTGTACAGCGAATTATAAATGCATGAAATCAAGTAGAAATCAGGTATTTATACTAGTTTCACTAAAATAAATGTAATGTTTTTAGATAATGTCATCAATATATTCATTTTGTTTTATAATATCTGTCTATCATTCAACTTTAAAGCAGTTAATAGAAATGAGACAAACCCTGGCTGACCGCTCTCAAGGATCAATAGGACAAATTGAAAACCTTGTCTAATTACTATTTACCTAAGATAAGCTGGTAACTGGTTGCATCTGCCTGCTTGTACACTTGCTCTTGTGTATATATAAGACAGCCAGACAGTTGGATCATGCTGACACAGCCAACTAATTTTGCATGTCTGTGGACTTCTTAAAGAAGAATTCAAGCTCCTTTAAAGTCCAAGTCCAGTTTATTTTTAAAATTTTTTTTTGGGGGGGGGGGGGTAGAGTGGCTAGAAATAAAAAAAACTCTGTTAGGTTTTTATTGCTGTCTTTGGCCTTACCAAAGAGATTACTGTTCAATTCCTGACCTGGTAGCACTGGGACAAGAAAAAAGAGGGTGTGGGTGTCACCAGGACTGGAGA